TTCCTCTTCCTCCTCACTCTCCTTTCTACCACAGCGCCGGAGGAAACATCCAAACCGTCCTGCAAGAGCTCAAGGTAATGAATTCTCTCAATATCAAACTGTTCTCAATACCCCATACAGGAAGATCCGCTGTCAGATCCGGAAACTGGGGGAACTTTGCCGGTCCCTGACGTAAGAACTCTGAAACATTTTTGTTGCATTGCTCTTCTTGTCTGCATGATGTGCAAAGTTGAATATTTGGCAATCCTTTCATCGTTTTACACCTCACTGCCTATGTTATCAATACTTCCCTCATGTTCTCTTGTAGTGACTTTATGATTGTCTCCAACGTCTAAGTGCTTTTGGTTTCCAAGTTTTTCTGCCCTGTCTGACATTTCTTCATCAGGTTGTCGACGGATGGATCGAACCGCTCCCTGAAGATCATCCCTGGATGATTGTCAGACTTTGCATGTTTGCACTTGCAACCCATAATGATGTTTGCAGGAGATCAGGAAAGAAGAGGAAGAGAAGAAAAAGTGAGTTTCATTGTTGAGATGTTGAGATGTTTCAATGGTTTCATTGTTTTGATGTCTAAGGATAAAATTGCAGGCAAGGCAATACAGACGATCTTGGAGTTCTCGAGAGGTTTGTAGAAATGTGAAATCGTCGGCACTTCGGTTGATCGCATTCGCGGTTGCAGGTTGGAAAAGGACAAAGATTTCAGAGAACGGGCGAAATAGCTATTGCTTGTTAAATCTATTCACAGCATTGAAAGAATATCTCTACTATCGTACAAACAGCTCATGCTGTCTCAACATCAGCATCAGCATCACCATATACACCATTATATCTTCCATACGCTCTCAAGTTTCTGCGCTGAAGAATCTTTGAGAATGGAGAAATTCACTTCCCGTAATCTCTTTCTTGCTGTAAAACTTCCTCAACAACACAATCTTTCAAAGATTCCATACACTCACCACTGATAGATTCAAGAATCCATTCAGGTCGAACAAATTGCAGCTTCTGCGCATGACGGCCTGCATTGATGGCCTTGTGCAGCTTCGAGCCTGTTCATCGCATCTCACACCTCCTAACATGTCAACGTTTCACTCTCATCACCGCAAAGATTCTCGCAGATCACATGGGTAACTGTTCTTTTTCCTAGGGATATGTTACATTCACCACCTGTTGTGCAGTCTTGCTCAACTCGTTGATATGCAAGACTTGTTTGCACTTTACCATGTAGCTGAACAAGTTTGGTAAGGTGGAGAGCAGAGTACCGCCCTGTTCTCCCATCGAGGTACGCAACAACTCCAGCAAAGATGGGCGGGGCTTCGTAGACTTTGTTCGATTCTCCTGCTCCTGCTCCTGCTCCTGCTCCTGCTTGTGACTCTCTGTCGTGTGGAGCATTTTTCGGATTGACTTCTTTCTTCTCTTCATTGCAGATCTTTTCTTTGCACAGCTTGCGGTAGATGGAGGCATGGGACCCTTCCACGCCCTGCGCGCGAGGAGTGAGAAGGAGGGAGAGAGGAGAAGAACAAAACTTTTGAGCAGGAAAAGGGGCTTGGGTTGAGAAAAGGAGGAGGAGGAGGAGGAGGAGGAGGAGGAGGAGGAGGAGGAGGAGGACGCGCCGCTCATCGTTGGTGGTGTTGTGGCGGACGTCGGGGGGAGAGGGGGGGGGTGCGCTGCTCACCACCTTACCCATCTTGTGCTGCTTGGTGGTGAGGTGGAAAGTAGTGCTGCCTATCGACGAATGCTGATTCTCCCTCAACTTCTGGTTCCGCATATCGAAATATCCCTTGTACCTGAGAGCAGCTTCAGTCGCTACTCTCTTCCTCCTCCTTCCTTCCTTCGTCCCCCCCTCCTCCCCCCTTGCTCCTCCCCCTCCCTCCTCCCCCTTCCTCATCTTTATCGTCCTCCTCACAACATCTCTCGCCTCCTTTCCACCTCATCTTCTCTTCCATGTGGTCGGACATGCTCGGACCATGTTGGTTCTCCACTCCGTTGAACCTGATCGCAAAAATCCTCTTCTTGTCGTTTCCTGCCCCGCTCCGCTGATTTCTTTCGTCGAGCCTTCCTTGGAGAACAGCGCTCGAAAGTCGTTCGCAACCTTCCTCTTAGACTCGAGATGTTCTTGTACATCATGTTTTACATGTCCTCCCGAGTCGATCAACCCGGGAAGTTCGTGTTCCGCGCAGTCTGCTCGTCGCCGAATTCCTTCATGCTCCGCCTCCTCCTCTTCTTCCTCTCTGAGCTCCCTTGCTTGAGAGTCTCGTGGTTGACCTCGCTCAGCAGATGCTTCGGGCTCCTTGAAATCAATCGAAACCTCGTTGACGCCGCTGATAGTAAGTCGAACTCTTCTCTTCCGCTTCCTGGAGCCATGGGAGTGTTGGCTGTGGGATGGTAAGGCTTGCCCTTGCTGTTCTCCGTGCATGTCGATGGCAGGGAGGGCAGAACTCTGCGCTTTCGGTCCCGTCCTCGTTCGCTTTCTCGCTCTCGTTCTCCTTTGCACCCACTCTGTCTCCAACTGACCACCACCCCTACCCTCTCACTTTGACCCACAACCATTCACTTTGTACCCTACCTACTGGAAAGGTCTCGTCACGTTGTACCCTACCACAGAGGAGTCGATCATAATTGCGTAGATACCCCAATAATTTGAGATTCAGAACCGGGTACTTCACACTCTTAGGGACTAAGTACCCCATAAAATCACAAACTAGAACCCCCCACATTCAAAACAGGATCACCCTACCCTGAAAATTTCGAATGTACCCTACCCTCGACCCCCAACTGAAAATCAAACAGCATGGCAGGCGCCTCATAGCAATGGCACAGGAGGAAGAGGAGGAGGAGGAGGAGGAGGAGGAGGAGGAGGAGGAGGAGGAGGAGGAGGAGGAGGAGGAGGAGGAGGAGGAGGAGGAGGAGGA